GGGGGGGGGGGGGGGGGACGAAGCAAAAGTGGCCGCACACAAGTTCCTTAAAAACTCCTTCGTGGTAAACACCGCCGAGAGCCAGCAAACATTCCACCCGATCCCGAACCTAAAACCCTCCAGCGTCAGCCCTCCCTCCCTCCCCTCTTGCCTGTTCCTCCATGGCCAGGTTGAGCATGCTCATGAACTCCTCCTCCCCGTCGGCGCCCCAGTCGTACCCATCATCACCCTCTCCGAAGTCGTCGAGCGGCCTGGGAGAAAGCGGCGATTGCTCCAAAGCCGCCGCCGCCGCCGCCGCTGCTGCCGCCGGTGGTGGTGCCTGCGCGCCTTGCGCCGGAGTAAGCAGGGGAGAAGAAGAAGGGGGGGGCACGCAGCCGAGAGTACCTGCCGGTGTTGCGGCGGCGGCACCGCCGCCGCCGCCCAGAAGCGGTTTGCTGTCGTTACTGCCGCCACCGTCGACACCGGCGGCAGAGGAGCTCCCTCTATTTCCTCCTGCTCTTCGCGTCGCTCCTCCTCCTCCTCTTCCTCCTCTTCCTCCTCCTCCTCCTCTTCCTGCTCCTCCTCCTCCTCCTCCTCCTCCTCCTCCTCCTCTGCCCCCCCGTGCTCCTCCACCGGCACCTCCTCGTCCACGTGTCGCCGCTGCTGATGCCGCCGAGGGAGCGGTTCGCTGTGCCCCGCGCTGCTGATGGAGATCGGCCGACGCCGGTGCCGATACCGCAGCGGCCGCGGCGGTGGCAGCCTTCGGTTGTGGAAGCCCTCCTCCAAACACTGCTGCCGCTCCCCTTCCACCGGGCAGCACCCCCGCAGCCGCCGCAGCCGCCACCGATGCCGCCTGTGTCCCAAGGGCCCCTTGCGTTGGTACTGGAAAGGCGAGGGGGTTCAACATCGGCGAAACGAAGGCGCCCTGAAGAGCCTGGCGTTGCTGCAAGGACATCATGAGCGGGTTGACGGCGCCCCCCCCTTGTGCAACACCGCCGCCGGCCGCCGCCCCCCCGCCCATGCCCCATCGCCCGCCGCCGACGCCGGGGAGAAAAGTGCCGTCTCCAACCGAGCCGGAGGCCGCGCCGCCGAGCGCGAACGGTCCCCCGCCGGCAACGTTCATCATCATCAACTGTTGCTGCTGCTGCTGCTGCTGCTGCTGCTGCTGCTGTGGTCGCTGCTGTGCTTGGTATTGCTGCCTGGCAAGCATGGCCGCCATTTGTTGTTGCTGCAGCTGGTTCATGACCTATTAGGACGGGAGCGGTAGACAACCAGCAACAGCAACAGTGGTGGACGAGTTCACGTATCCATGTGGTGCCATGCCGGCTTCATGGCGAAAGGTCAGTTTGCACGGAATTAAAACGGGGGTTCGGCACTGACACTTCACGAGAATCAGACACCATCGCGTCACACACCACAAGACACTGCTGCTGCGCACCCTCACCGTCGCACTAGCTGCGCCGCCGCCACCGCCGTTCACCGCGGCACCACCAGCAGCAGCCCCGTCAACGTCACCACTTGACCGCTGCTCGAGGTCCACCCCACCACCGCCGCCTCTGCCGCCGCCGCCTCTGCCGCCGCCGCCCGCGGCGGCCGCGGCCGTCGCCATCCGGTTCGCGGCCGTAGACGCCTCGAAGTTCTGCATCAGGGTGTTCGGCACCCCCCCCCTCTCGCCCCCTGGCCCCGAACCCACGCCGCCGCCGTCGCCGCTCGCCGCTTCTGCCTTGGCCTCCGCTGCCGCTGCTCCGCCCTTGGCCCCGTCAACTGAGGGAGTCGTTTCCGCGGCTGCATTATCCGGCGAGGTCGCGGTGGCAGCAGCGCTCGAGGACGTGGAGGCACCGGCGCTGACGGTGACCGCGTCGGCGGAAGAAGCAGCGCCGGCAGCAATGCTACCGCTGCCAATGCCACCGGTTGCTGTATCGGGCGCACCGGACTTCATCGCATCGGTTTCGCCCTCGCCGCTGGAGGCGGCGGGGGCTGGTAAGCCAGAGGACACGGGGCTGGACTGCGGGCTCGGTTGGGCCTGGTGCAGGCAACACAGACATGATGGAGAAACGGCGAGGCCCCAAGAACAGAAAAAAGAATGCGTGTTGGATTTTGTACGGGTTCCGGACGATCGATCTTCACATGAAAAATAAAGAGAAGCAGTACGCCTTTCAAGGGAACACCAGGGAATCTACGCGTGAACGCCCCTATCATGTACGTATACCAACCACACCGAAACGGTTTTCCATTGACGGCATGGTATGTAGACGAAAGTCGACACACTGCTCCTGTGTCGCCATGCCAACCAAGCGCGAGTGCGCAAGAGCCGCTTTCACGCCCAAGCGGAGGAGCATCCGACAATAGTACTGTGCGTGCCTGCGGCGCGGCGGCGGTTCCGATGGTCGAACCGAAAGAGAACGCCCGCTGCTGCTGCTGCTGCTGCTGCTGCTGCTGCTGCTGGGCCTGCTGATACTTGAGCATCTGCATCTGCCCCAAGTGCTGAAGCTGTAGCTGCTGTACCTGCGCGATCCATGTGAGGGTCAAGAGGCAGGGCTACGGTTGAGGGTGGCGGCTTTGGGCTAAGAGGTAGGGGGGCCCGCGAGGTGCTGTGTTGTTGTTCTCGTCACGCAAACCACAGAGATAAAGCTTGCGCCAACAAGACGATTGTCGCGGGAACAAAACAACTCCGCGACACCACCATTTTTGCTGTATAGGTTCAAGGACGACTACACCTCCAAGAATCAGCACAGTCGCCATCTTTTAATACCCCTGACTACAATATCTACGATAAACGAAAATTCACCTCCCCAAAGAGGCGCCATCACCTTGAGCGATTCTTCTTTTCGACGGGAAGAAGAACAAAACTAAAATTGTTGCCTGGGTACGCACGACGTTCATCGAAACGACGCCCGCACATCAGTGTCGCGGTCGCAACCAGACCAACACTTCCAATCGCCTAACCAATACCAATCAACGCTTCTGACCTGTTGCTGCGCTAGAAGCTGCTGCTGTTGGGCCTGCGCCTGCCCTTGAAGGGTCTGCATCGCGTGCATCAACTGAGTCTGATTGGGGGGGGGGCAA